CCCCATAGGTACTCATCTGTAATGACTATATTTAGGAATATTATTATATGGTAATTAGATGTCTTTCCTCTCCAAGTCTAAGACTGTGAACTGAGAGACCTTTCTGAACACCCGGGACATTGCCACACATCTCAGGTTTACCTGGTCATATTTGTTGATTCATCATGTTTTCACAGGAAGGGCAATTTCCATTTATAGCCTCATTAAAGGAATCTTGGAAACTTATTTATTTCGGGTCACTTCCTTTAGCCAGGATAAGATTTCAGCTTCCTAAGTAAATGACCGTGCATTTTATTTGTACTCCCTCATAAGCCTATGGTCATACAATCTGAGATCTGAAAGGGACTTGGAAGGTCTTCTGGGCCAGGTACCTCCCAGAGTGGGATTCTGCTATCCACACCCCCTACAACATGGGCATCTGGTCTGCAGAAGAACAGGGAGTTGTGGCCTTCCTGGGAAATCCATTCCATCTTTGTTCTTTTTTTTTGTTTTGAGACAGAGTTTCACTCTTGCCACCCTGGCTGGAGTGCAATGGTGCAATCTCAGCTCACTACAACCTCTGCCTCCCGGGTTCAAGTGATTCTCCTGCCTCAGCCTCCCAAGTAGCTGGGATTACAGGCATGCACCACCACGCCCGGCAAATTTTTGTATTTTTAGTAGAGACAGGGCTTCACCATGTTGCCCAGGCTAGTCTCAAACTCCTGACCTCAGGTGATCCACCCATCTTGGCCTCCCATAGTGCTGGGATTGTAGGCATGAGCCACCGTGCCTGGCCTGTTCTTTTACAATATAGCATGTTCTTCTTCGTATGCTCCAAACCATCTGTGCTCAAAACTATCATATCCCGCTGCCTCTCTGCTGCTTCCTCTCATTTAAAATAACATGAACAACTTTAATGTCAATAAATATTAACCTACAACATGATACTTCATGGTACATGTTGAAATCTTAATTTGAGCATCCAAAGTACTAGCAATTTCTTCTAGTTTGGGGATTATATTCAGTGGATTACAGCCTGTTCATATCTTTAAGTGTTGGTAATCTTTTTTTTTTTTTTTTTGAGATGAAATTTCACTCTTGTTGCCCTGGCTGGAGTGAAGTGGTGCAATCTCGGCTCACCACAGCCTCCACTTCCTGGTTTCAAGTGATTCTCTTGCCTCAGCCTCCCAAGTAGCTGGGATTATAGGCATGTACCACCATGCCCAGCTAATTTTGTATTTTTAGTAGAGACGGGGTTTCGCCATGTTGGTCAGGGTGGTCTCGGACTCCTGATTTCAGGTGATGCACCTGCCTCGGCCTCCCAAAGTGCTGGGAATACAGGAGTGAGCCACCATACCTAGCCTTTTTTTGGTGGGTTAAAGTTTTTGAATAAGACAGAACTCAGGAATAAGCTCCTGTGCACCCATCTGAGATTACTGAGAGCAACATCATTCAGTGATACTCCTTAAATACCGATTGTTTAAAAATCTAGTATCTGACCAGTGTTTTGTGACCTTAGCCATTTGTTCCCAAGTGCAGGGTGAGAGACAGGTCACATAAGAATAACCTGGTACTTATTTTAAAAAGTACAGACTCACAGGCCTTGTCCCAGATCCCCCAGTGATAGCATTGCTGAAAATGGATCCCCGGAATCTGTATTCTAACCTCCCTCCATGTGATTCTGATGATAGCTGGGTTTGGGAACCACTGATCTAATCTCCGTTTCTCCTTCTTATCCATATCAATGGCTTTATCAAATCCTGTGCCAAATTCAAAGTGCACTAAGGGAATCCTCTGGTGACCATTTGAGAAATGTCCTGGCTCTGCCCTTCACCAGCTATATGATTTTATCTCTGGACATTTTTTTATCTATAAAATGAGTAGGTTGGATTAATTATCGCAGTGGATGGGTGGATAGCATGGTGCTGTGGTGAGCTCACACATCCCTTCTTCAAGATCCAGTCACTCATTTCCTCAACTGTTGGAGTGTTGGTTGGCTACTGACAGTTCTCAGGTTTCCTCTAGGGGTAAAGCCTGTGTCCATTGGGCCAGCTCTGAAGAGTCGTCCCATGGAGTTGGCCTGAGACCTCTGTTGCATCTGCACCACAGTTCAATCCATCCCTCTGCCTTTCCACTCCCTTCACTCCCTCATAGGTGTGGGTCCCAAGGGCACTCCACAATAAGCTTCCTGCACACAACCTCCATCTCAGTAGCTTTCTGGGAAATGCACTGTCACAATGACTGTTGACACAGTGACCTTTTGCTTCTGACTTGGACTGAACTGACAGCAAAGATGCCTCTTAGGACCCTTTCAACCATCTTGGGCTCATTGTTGAGCTTGAAGAGCCTTCTTCTCTTCAGTCTCCTCCCATTCATTCTTCATTCATTGAGCAAATGTATTATACTCCTACTATGTGCCAGGCCCTGAGCTTAGCTGAATATTCAGAGACTTGCCTGTGTCTCCAGTAGTGGAAAAGAACAAGCACTTAGGAGCTGAATGGCTCCTCTTTCTCTTTGTGATTTGTTAGCACTTCGCTGTTTCCCAAGCTGTGGGACTAGTTCATCTTGCTCTGAACTTTATTGCCCTGGTCACAATTTGAAAGGCCCCTCTCTGTAGTGATTTTAACCTTCCTGGCACCATTCTTAGGAGTTTGTGCCTTTCTATTCCTTTCTTAGCTTCCAGGTTCCTCCTTCCAGCTCTTGCAGCCAGCATGGGCAAGAGCCAACATCCATGTTTCATCCATTTAGGATACTCCATTATACTCTGTACTTTATCTTGCCTGTTACAGTTGTGGGGTATCAGGCAAGATAAAGCACACAGAGTCTCTCTGTATGATGGAGAGCATTTTACAGCATGAGGAGATGTTTTCTGCCCTGGCTGTGTACTGAAATCCTCCATGGAGCCTGAAATGTGAGTGTAGGGGTTGGGGGTGGGCTGATGACTGTATGCTTTGGTTTAAGTTTCACCAGTGATTTTGATGCACATTCAAATGTGGAAACCATTGACAAAGTACAAAAGACAAACAGGAGAAGAGAAATAAATTACTCTGTGAGCTAAAGACACAGGCACATTTTAAGCTCTCTTTAGAGTGAATAACTAAGGGCAAACTTAGAGAATAATTAAATCGCCTATCTTTTTCAAGGTACCCAAAACCCTAATGTCAAGTCCCTTTTTTCTTCCTGGAAAAGATGTACGTGACTTCAATTACATTACTTTTCTTACCTAACAATCTAAACACACACTGAAGATTTCACACACACACACACACACACACACACACACACACACACACACACTCTTCATGAATTATCTCTGCCTGCTTGCATGCTGAAGTCAGATTCTGAGTAATGTCTTTTATTCTTTAACCTCTGAGTAATCACTCTGGCCCTGGTCTGCTCTTTATTATCCAGGAAAACAATCTGATCAGGCCTTGGATGATGAATTCATAGCAGCCCAAATCTCCAGAGTACTGTATAAACCAGACTATTAATTTATTCCGTGGGGATATTCTGTGAGAGTTCTAGTTCTCCTTGTTAATAATTGAGTAGCCTTGAGCAAGCTGCTTAATCTCTCTAGGTCTCTAAGATGATTATGATCACTGAGCATCACCCATTACAAAGTATTTCCTTCTTTGTGGCGGCTCTCCTTAAAATGCCAGTTGAGTGTTCTCAGAAAGTTGCTTCAGTGGGCATAACATAAAGAAAATGGGTAAGAATGAGAACAATGAATTTAAGGTACATTTCATTCAGTCTATGGGACATCAGAGTGAACAGCTGTTACAGCTGTTTTGTCTGCTCAGCACCTCTTCCACTCTTCAGTGGACAGAACTTCCTTTCATGGGGGAACAGCTCCTTTCTTCTTCCATGTGGTTGTGGGTGACTGCTGATTAAAGGACCTTGGCCTCCTCCTCTTGGGCCACAGGGGTGGGCATGTGACTTTGACTTAATCATAATAACAACCTACTCACCTGGCCACAATGATTGATCTGGGAATTCATCCAAGGATCAACCCAAAGAGAGAGAGAGAGAGGGAGAGGGAGAGAGAGAAAAGAAAGGGAAAGAAAACAGAGAAAGAGAAGGAAGGAAGGAAGGAAGGAAAGAAGGAAGGAAGGAAACCAGGAATTTTTCTAAATTAAGCTTATAGGGAAAAGTATCTTTCCTTTCTGGTCAAGGAGCTTTATCATTGTGACCCTGTGTGCCACATGAGAAGGCTGGGAGGACAAGGCCACCAGCCAGAGGGAAGAAGAAATGAGGCAGCAAGAGACAGAGATGGAAACAAGGAAAGGGTCTGTGGTGTCGAGTTCCAGGTCTGACTCTCCTGGTGTCATCTGGCAATTATTCTTTTAATTCCTTAAGCTACCCCAGGGTTTTCCCAAAAAGTCACTTTCTCTTTTTTTTCTCACTTAGGCCCGTTTGTTTTAGAATTTCTACCACTTGCAACTCAGTCTTGATGAACAGAAACACTCCAACAGTTTTCCTCTCAGCTATACTTAAAAAAAAATTTTTACCCCAAATTTGAGGCTCTATGTCCTCTTGTCACCTGGCCCTTGCCAGCAGCCAGACTTGTCTTGCTTTCTGCAAGCTGCACCTTGTTCACCCATGCCAGGCCAAGCAGTGACTCTCCTGTGATTCTTCACCTTCCCTTTTCAGATCTTCACTTCCCTACTTCCTGCCCCCTCCCCATGTTTTGTAAGATCTCATTTTTATAATAAATACCTTAGTCCATAATACTCAGTGGTTCTGCTCCCAAGGTTCAGCCCTGACAAACGCAAATGCTATTGGGTGGGCCCTGACAAAGAAACTTCCTTCTTCTTCTCCTTTTTTTAGTCAGAGTTTCACTCTTGTCACCCCGGCTGGAGTGAGCATGATCTGGCTCACTACAACTTCTACCTCCTGGGTTTAAGCGATTCTCCTGCCTCAGCCTCCCCAGTAGCTAGGATTACAGGTGTGTGTCACCATGCTTGGCTAATTTTTTTGTATTTTTAGTAGAGAAGGGGTTTCACTATACATGCTAGCCATGCTGATCTCGAACTCCTGACCTCAGGTGATCCGCCCACCTTGGCCTCCCAAAGTGCTGGGATTACAGGCCTGAACAACCGTGTCCGGCCAAAGCTTCCTGCTTCCATTCTTTGCTTCCTGCCCACACTGCCTCCATCTCTCCGTCCGCCCCTCCTCTCCAGTTACCACATCGCCGTCTTTCCTCATCCTGTCCCTGTGTCAGCGGGAAGGTCTGATGCAGCCCCTGGTCCCTTTAACCACTGTGCTATTTGCAGTCCCAAGCCACTCTTCTCTCTGACCTCTGTCTGGTTCACTTTTGCACTATTTCCTGCGCCTCATTCCCAAACACAAGTCTGTGTCTGGCAGGCAGCCTGAAAATTTAACACGGGCTGGCACCCAGCAAAGGCAAATGCCGAGACGCCCTGCCCAGAGCTTCTCACTCATTATTTCCAATTAGAAAATGTCACTAGGGAAGAAAACAAATACCCTCAAAGATAACTCAGTGGGGACTGTGTGTTTGTTGCCTGGAATAGATGCCAAATAAATATTTTATCAAAGGAATTTACATAGTAAAAACTATTTGAGTTGAAAATTATCCAGGAATACTTTCAAAATGAACATGGTGGATTTTTTTGTTGTTGTGTTTTGTTTTTGTAGCATGCATGGATTTGAAGTTTCCCCTGGGAGCTGGCTCTGTTTTTGATGAGCTCAAGGTCTCTTCCAACTCTGTGATGTTGGCTCAAAGGCCAGAGCTTCTGATCCAGGCCCAGCCATTGCTCAATGTGAATCAGCTGACCTCTCTAGACTTTGCCTAATCGAACTGGATCAATAAAATAAACAGAGAAAAAAAAATCCAGATCATTGTATCTTAGGCTTGGAAGCAACCTTACAGGTTATCCCTAATTAAGGAAGCTGGCTGTTGTGTGTCTCCATCCAGCCCCTCTGGCTTCACTTGACTCACCACTTAGCTGGGACCCCATGGGCATACAGTATTGTCTCCTCTCTGAAGGCAGATGCTGGGTATGGTGACTCAGCCTCTGTCCCAGAGTTGGGACAAGTGTCTAACAGCAGAATTTTCTTCATGTAGAATTAGACACCCTAAATCTTAAAAGGGCATTGTTACCAGGTTGACATGGGACATGAATAGCAAAGTATTTACCAATTTCTTGGTAAGAAGGAAATTGAAAGCGTATATCAAATCATATATCACATCAGATCATATATCAATATTTAGTTGGGTAAATTTATGATTAAACAATGTAATTATCTTCTAGTCTTGCAGATTTATTCTGACCTCCTTCTTTCGTTATCTACATACATTCCTCAATTGTGTAAGCCTTCTGTTCATTTGGGCGGGTGGATTCTACCAGGCCATGGAAATCAAGGCTGGGTGTCCTTGACCAGGCAAGCTGAGTGAGCAGCAGCCCTTACCAGAGGTTGGTTTGACAAAGTTTACTTGGTTGTGCTGAATATCACACTTTTCTCACATCTGTCCTCAGAACCTCCTGAAGCACAGGGGCAGCCCAGAGGAGTCCTGACTGCAGCCCAGAGAGAAAAATGACTTGCTCCAGTCTGTGGCGAAGCTGGTACCTGAAGCCGAGGCCCCTGAATCCCGTTTGTATGTTTCAATGTTTCTTTCATATATGTATGATGTATTTTTACCTATGGCTAGTGCTGCTTTCAAGAGGGGTGGAGGCCTTAGGCACCCCCTCTTAATCTCCGTCAGCATCCCATGCCCCGCAACACACACACCTCCTTCTTTGTCACGAGCATCTGGTGTTTTCTCAGTTGAGGTAAAGTCCTGTGAAAACACAACAATCCAGGTCCCCAAGCCTGCCCGTTCCTAAGTAAATGAAGCTCCTGTGTCCTTCCTAGGTGGAAATTCTGGGATCATCTGCACCTGTGCCTATCTGTTCCGTGAGACTATCCACTCCCTCCAAAGGGTAGGAAATAGACCTCTTTCTCTCTGACACCCCCAAAAGATTAATGAGGGCTCTGCACACTTGCAGTGAATATTTGTTACTGCGCCTGCTGCTGCAGTGGCCAGCTATGTTTGGTCCCAATTAAGAAGGCTTATGCTTGTGTGTTTGGAAGTAGGCATTCCTTGCGTTTCATCTCTGATGTAGGCAAGTAGTCAAAAGAGAAGATGGATTTTAATTTTTAATGTCTCATGTCACTTTCCCACTGTATATGTTACGGACTCCCACCTTAGACTGTGGGTTCCTCAAGCAAAGCAATCACATATCAAGCATGTAGTTGCTCCCCAGTAAGTGGTTGCCAAGAGAACGACTGAGCATCTGAATACTGCTTCTGATAGCACCTAATAAAAGGGAACACACCTCATCTGAAAAGGTGACTCGGCAGTCAGGCATACTGTCACTTAACAGGGAGTCATCACATGATGCTTTTTGCTGCAGAAGGAGATAAAACAAATGGATCTGCCACACAATGTAAAACACGAGGGCAGTCATCACACACCTCCATGCCTTCTGCCTGTCACATGTTAGTGACTTAAAGACACACTTACAAGAAAGGATAGTACATACTTCAGAATTGCAGCGGGTTATCTGCTCAGCTGCACTTCTCTGGGGCCAGTACAACCTCCCCCACCCTTCTGATGCACACACCCCTAGATAGTTCCAGGTGGCCATCGTTTATGCTGTGACCTGCCCAGATTCCTCTCCCAGGAATTTGGAATTTTGGACACAGATGCACAAAGAAAGGGGCTGTCTGGGGAGGCGGGCCCATTATGATAGTCTCCTGGAGGGAAGCCCACCACCACCTGCTGCTGCAGACCAAGATCAGCAACAGCAATTGCCCATTCTCGGCACAACACAAACACACACAACATGAAAATAGACTCTAGTAAAACGCACACAGACACACACACACACACAGACACACAGAGGGAATCAGAAAACTTCCTAGTCCTCATGAATAAAGATATATAATTTGGACGTGAGTTAAATATTTTTTCTCCATTGCTCTCCGCACTTCTGTGGTATCCTCATGGCTTGTATTTTACTTAATATTTCCAACATTTCTAGAAACCCATGAGTAGACCCATGGAGGGCAAGAATGTGCCTTTTTCACCTTTGTACATCTCACTGGCCTAGCCCACCCCTCACTTCCACGGGCATTCGATGGACACCAGTGTAGCTGAATTAAGTTTGATTGACTAGGACAAAAATAATGAATTTGCATGTTTCTAGGGAAAACAATATTAAAACTATTAAACTAAAATTTAATGATTTATCTTTCTTCACATCCAGATATTATTTAGAAACCAGGCAGCCAGTAGATAAGTGACTGTGCTTTTTAAAAAGGGGGGGAAACAAAGATGAGAGGGAAGTTCCTGTGGTATATTTCCCATTTCTTCCTTGTCCCAACTCCTGTCCCTTGCCTCTCTTTAGCACCCTTTCTCTGCCCTTAGCCTTCCTCACCACCTCATATCCCCCACTCCAGGGCTGTGTGCTGTCTGGGGCCCCATGGCAGACACCATGAGTTGTGTCTTACTATGGTAGGACAGGGCACAGAGGGAAACTGGGCGCTGCCATTCTGGAAGCATCACCGAGCAGACTGTCACCAGAGCGCAGCTGCCATTCTGAGCTTTAGAACCAAAGGACATGGCTGAGGAAAGAGCCACAAACCAGCAGGCATCAGAAACGGGTCCCCAAGATGGTGAGCTTGGAGAACCAACAAGCAACCCTAAGGAGTCCTTTGACCATTGTTTAGGGCTGAGTAGCCTCCTTGTCAGAAGGGCTTTTTATTTTTTTTAATTTAATTTAATTTTTTTGAGACAGAATCTCACTCTGTCACCAGGCGCCAGGCTGGAGTGCAGTGGTGTGATCTCAGCTCACTGCAACCCCTGCCTCCTGGGTTCAAGCAATTCTCCTGCCTCAGCCTCCTCAGGAGCTGGTACTACAGGTGCTCACCACCACGCTTGGCTAATTTTTTGTGTTTTTAGTGGAGATTGGGTTTCACCATGTTGGCCAGGCTGGTCTCAAACTCCTGACCTTAAGTGATCCACCCGCCTTGGCCTCCCAAAGTGCTGGGATTAAAGGCATGAGCCACCATGCCCAACCGGAAGGGGCTTTTTATAGTGATTTACTGATCACTGAATTTGCCACCTAAAAACATTCCAGAGGTATGGGTGATGATTTTGGTGAGATGGGGAGAGGTTCTGAGTCAAGAGCAGCAGTCTTATGCCCAGAGCAGTCAGGACTGTCACTGCAGCACCAGGTGTCCCCCAGCCGCTCCTTCCTGTCCTGCCCTCCTGGCTGCCTTACCCCAGAAGGCAGCTGTGGGGTGTTGCCTGAGATGTGGCCGTGGATGCAACTGAAGACCACGGACATTCAAATGCATTCCCTGCTGGCAGCTCAGAAAGTGCTGGACAAAGGAGAGGGAGATGTTACCAGACACATTTTTTAGAAATCTGTAAACCTGTATTTGCTTACATGCTACACTAAATATTGTATACAATGAAGGGGGTCTTGCACTTTGAGGGGCTTCCATTCATGTTTCAGAATGTTAGTGACAAGAAAATGTATTCTTATATTCTCTTCTCTTTCCATGCCTATAATATATCTTGGAAAGTAAGCAATTGACGTGTCTTAATACTGCAGACCTATTAAAAATAATTGAAATATATCTTTTGATTATTTTCTTTTGTTTAATTTTTTTTTTCTTTTTTTTTTTTTTTGAGACAAGGTCTTGCTCTTTGACCCAGGCTGGAGTGCAGTGGTACAATTTCGGCTCACTGCAGCCTTGATCTCCTGGGCTCAAGCAATCCTCCTGCCTTAGCCTCCTGAGCATCTGGGATTACAGGAGTTCACCACCACATCTGGCTAATTTTTCTTTTCTTTCTTTCTTTTTTTGTAGAGATGGGACCTCAATATGTTGCTCAGGCTGGTCTCATACTCCTAGGCTCAAGAGATCTCCCTTCCTTGGCCTCCCAAAGTTCTGAGATTATAGGCACGAACCACTGCACCTAGCCTATTTTCTTGACGTAAGTACAGGTATTGATCGACTTACGACCTATGCAACTTACGACCATTCGACTTTACGACCACAATCGCTAGCCACGACTGCTCCACGTCTGGCAGTGCAAACATTGCCCAGCTGGGCGTACGACAGTGCGGACCAGCTTCCGGCAGCACTACTATCTCCATGTGCACTATTTCAACTGTACATATAGCCTACTCAACTTACGACCAAATCGTGTTACGACTGGTCCGCAGTCCCGACCGTGGTCGTAAGTCAAGCACTAGCTGTAATACATGTACCATTTAGAAAGAAGAACCCTATTGATATTGCTATAGACATTCTTACATATGTGCCTTTACATGAAAATATATAGTTTTAAAAATAGATATCATAATCATAATGTTTTGAAACTTTATTTTACTCAAAAATATATCATGAATATAGTTCAATGACAGTCAACAGATGTACATAATCAATCTTAATATTACATAGTTTTCTATTTTATGGGGTTAGTGTAATTTGGTCAATTTCCATTGTAAGACTTTAGATTGTTTCTAATTTTTGTCTAAATAAACCACATTTGAGATATATATATATATATATAAGCTACATTTTTAAAAGATACTCAGCCTGAGACGGGGGCTTGTGTTGTGTCCTGGATGGAGTGCAATGGCGTGATCTCAGCTCATTGCAAACTCCGCCTCCCAGATTCAAGTGATTCTCCTGCTTCAGCCTCCCAAGTAGCTGGAATTACAGGAGCGTGCCACCAGGCCTGGCTAATTTTTTTTTTTTTTGAGACAGAGTCTCTCTCTGTTGCCAGGCACCAGGCTGGAGTGCAGTGGCGCAATCCCGGCTCACTGCAACCTCTGCCTCCCGGGTTCAAGCAATTCTGCTGTCTCAGTCTCCCAAGTAGCTGGGACTACAGGCACGCACCACCATGCCCAGCTAATTTTTGTATTTTTTTTTAGTAGAGATGGGGTTTCACCATGTTGGCCAGGATGGTCTCAATCTCTTGACCTCCTGATCCGCCCGCCTCGGCCTCCCAAAGTGCTGGGATTACAGGCATGAGCCACCTTGCCTGGCCAAATTTTTATATTTTTAATAGAGACGGAATTTCACCATGTTGGCCAGGCTGGTCTCGATCTCTTGACCTCGTGATTTGCCCGCCTTGGCCTCCCAAAGTGCTGGGATTACAGGTGTGAGCCACCATGCCTGGTTGATAAATATAATTTTATAATACTTCTGTTTTCTTGTCTGATCACTGTTTTAGGAAAATTTCTTAGAAGTATAATCTTTACATGATTTTTAACTCATAGCCACTCTTTCATCTAGAAAAACTCTACCAATTTATATTTCACCCCATCCCCAACAGGAATGGTATAAAAGCCTATTTAAAATAATTTAAATTTTTTAAATTAAATATTAAATGCATAAAATATTTCTAATGTGAGGGACATAAAGAATACTCAAACATCTGTGAACCCATCATCTAGCTTAAGAGCTAGAATATCACTAGTCTTCTAGAAGCCCCACTGTGCCCTCCGACCCCATCCCTGCACTCCTCCTCCCCAGAAGAAGAATCCACGTTCCTAAACTGTGTCTACCAGTTCCCTGCTTTTAGTTAGTTTCACCACATTTGCTTGTATCCTTTAACAATATGTGCCTTTATTCTGCATATTTTTTCTTTATATAAATTAAATTTTATATGTATTGTTTTATAACTTGCTTTTAAAAACTGTAAATGAACTATGTCACACATACAGAGAAGTGCATGTATCTTAAGTGTTCAACTTGGTACATTTTCCAAGTAAGCACACGCCTGGATCAAGACTCAAAACATTACTAGCACCCCAGAAACCCTCTTAACTCCCTCCAAGGTACTGTCTGTCTCTGAAAGGAACCACTGTTCTGACTTCTAACACCATACAATTTGTATAAGTGGAATTAGAGTGACTGACTTCACACATTCAACTTTATGTTCATGCCTCTTGCTACATGTAGATACAATTCACTCATTTTTACCATGTATAGTGCTCAATTATACAAATATGTAATTTATATATCTACTTATCTATCAATGGATATTTGGGTTTCTTCCAGCATTTACTCTTATAAACAGGGGTGGTCTAAGCATTCTCTTACGTGTCTTCTTATGGCCAGATGCAAAGGTTTCTTTAGGAGAAACTAGGAATGGAATTGCAGAGTTATAGAATATAATTAGTGTTCGCTTTAGAAGTAATTTCCAACATGAACTCACCACTTACCACTAAAAAAAATGGCCAATCTAATAGGTAAAAATTAAATTCTTTGCTTAAATTTGCATTTTTAAATTATATTTATTTCATTATTACTTTTTGTTTTTTTTTGAGAAAAAGTCGTGCTCTGTTGCCTGAGTAGTGCAGTGGTTATTCACAGGTGATTTTTGTGCATTACAGCTTTTAACACCTGGGCTTAAGCAATTCCTCCAATCTCAGCCTCCTGAGTAGCTGGGACCACAGGCAGGCCCACTGCACATAACTACATTATTTTTTTTTTTTTTTTTTTTTTTTTTTTTTTTTGAGGCGGAGTTTCGCTCTTGTTACCCAGGCTGGAGTGCAATGGCGCGATCTCGGCTCACCGCAACCTCCGCCTCCTGGGTTCAGGCAATTCTCCTGCCTCAGCCTCCTGAGTAGCTGGGACTACAGGCACGCGCCACCATGCCCAGCTAATTTTTTGTATTTTTAGTAGAGACGGGGTTTCACCATGTTGACCAGGATGGTCTCGATCTCTTGACCTCGTGATCCACCCGCCTTGGCCTCCCAAAGTGCTGGGATTACAGGCTTGAGCCACCGCGCCCGGCTTACATTATTATTATTATTATTTTTAGCTGTTCATTAGCCATTTGTATTTTTTCTTTTGTGGATTATCTGTGTGCTTGGTCTAATTTTCTGTGCTGGTTACTGGTCTTTTTGTTAATGATTTGTAAACACTTTTATATATTAAAGCTATTACTCTGACATCTATTATGAATGCTGCAAATATATTCCCTATAATTTTTCTATCTTGTAGTTTGGCTTATCATGCTTTTTGCCATTTAAAGTTTTATTTCTTTCCCCTGGGATGTGCAAACTCCAGAAAAAAATGGGGCCAGTGCTTCCCCATTTCAAGTTTTAAACTAAAATTTTTGTGCAATTAGTGCCTTCACTCTTTTTTTCTTAGAGGCTCTGCCCTTTGTGCTGTTGGAAGCAGTTTTAAACATGCTTTTCTACTACAGGATGATGCATTTGTTAAGGTGACTTTTTATTTTTCATATTCATAGAGCAACTGGTTTTCCCAAGTTACTGTCCCAAGATAGCAATGGCTGGGTCAGGGTGTGACCCAGATGACATTTCTGCCATGCAGATTTTAGAAGCAAAAGTTATGATGCAGCTTCCATTATCTGGAGATCTGTTTTCATCACACAGAGAATGAGAAGTGAATTGAGTTGTGTGCTAAGGCCAGTTCTTTGCTTCTTATGCAAAGGATGTGAAAATAATGGTTCTTTCTTCCTAGAACCCAGCAGGTAGGCTGGGCTCATTACAACAGGGAAATTTCGCCAAAGCAAGAACACCTGAGGGACAAAACTGGCCTGCCAGACCAACCAAATGAACTCTCCAGCAATTGCCTGGCATGGGCTCCCCTCCCACAGGGTTTGCTGATTGCTCAGGCTTTTATAATTCTTGAGCCCTGTTCCAAGGAGCTTTTGTGGTTTAAATCAATATGCTTCTGGGAATAAGTGCCCTTATTATTTCCTCGTTCACATTATTTGCTGTGCTCTTATACTACCCTGACATAATACTCTTTGTGCTGCAGTACAATAACAGTCCTTTCAGGAATCTGTAAGAGCTTTCTAATTAGAACCTACAACCTCACAACAGATGGAGAACATGAAGCCCAGAGACAGGGATGATGAAGCTTCACCTTGGTCACAAAGGAGCCAAGCTTCAGTGCCCAGGTTACGTTGCTTATCTAGCAGTGATTGCAGAATTATAAGTGCTTCAGTGCATATGAAGCAAAATGGCTTAGGGGCACCTGCTGTTGAGTTGAGAACTGAGAACTAGCCTATGCCATTTCTAGCCACACCCAGGAATTGGTTGGACAATAGCTCTTGTGTTTACAACCAGTTCTCAGTGACAAGGCTCAGACCAGAAACTGCATGAAGGCTAGGTCATTTGAAACCAAATTTTGCATTCGATAGTTAAACTTTCTTGATTGCCTACCATGTACTAGCCACCATATTGAACACCAGTAAGGCAAAGACGAACCCCCAATCCCTCCCTTTAAATATTTACAGTCTAGAAGAGGAGACAGATATGTAAGCAGAAAGTTATAAAGTTATAAGAAGCCAAGTGCTTTACTAGAGACCAGAACAGAAGGCGAGGGTAGTCCTCAGCCCCGGGGCCTTCAGGGTATTCTTCCTGCTTCCTGGAGAGGAGGACTTTTGACTTGGGTAAATCTTAGGAGACGGGCTGGAGCTTGCTGGGCAGAGCTAGGGAAGTGCATTGCATGCTGAGAGCCAAGCACAGAGAAAGGCCCAGAGATGGGCAATGTACAGGGGTTCGGGGAGCAACGAGAAAGTCAGCATGTCCAAAGTGGCCATGGTCATCCCACTGTTGTTTCTCTTGTCGATTGTTACAGCAAAAATCTCTCTTTCTATGCTCAGTATTTTATTTCAGATGTTGAAAAAGCTGAACATTGGTTTTGTCTTTGTCTTGTTACTTTAACACTCCATTTCTCCTCAGGGCCTTGTGGGGTGCCTCTGAGGGAGAAGATCATGTCTTTCCTGAAAAAAGAGCACAAAGATGAATATCTCACTGCAGTGTGAAGACACAAGAGCAGTTCAGGGAATTTAGGGCAGGAACCCAGCTGGGCCTTCTTTTACCATCTTTAGAGCAGAAAACATAGCCTTGGAAAGCTTCCAAGGTTACCTGTCACAGGTCCGGCCACCTAGTAGGAGGTCCTGTGGTCCAAAGCTTGTTGCAGAATCCATAGATGAAAAGACATGAGGACTAGGGGTGTGAGGGGAAAACACAAGCTAACAGATGGCCCACGCAAGAACAGAAGCCTCAGATGTGAGCTTCATAGCTGGCTCTGGAATCTGCAGTGGTGGGAAACTGAAGGCCACCTCTGGCTTCCTTTTTTTTTTTTTTTTTTTGAGACGGAGTCTTGCTCTGTTGCCCAGGCTGGAGTGCCACGGCAGGACCTCAGCTCACTGCAACGTCCGCCTCCCAGGTTCAACTGATTCTCCTACCTCAACCTCCCGAGTAGCTGGGATTACAGGCATCCGCCACCACACCCGACTAATTTTTGTATTTTTAGTAGAAACTGGGTTTCACCATATTGGCCAGGCTGGTCTCAAACTCCTGACCTCAGATGATCCACCAGCCTCCCAAAGTGCTGAGATTATAGATTATAGATGTGAGCCGCCACACCCAACCTCTTTGTGTTTCTTTTCCCTCGTGTCTTCCTTGCTCACTCCACATTCCACAAGGTCTTCCAGGTTTCATCTACCTCCTTAGTCAATGCAGATAATGTGTGCCCTGCTCAAGTCTCCTTCAGTGCCACTTTGCCACCTCAGCTAGATCTTGGCACCATGGACACTCACTGAGCACCCTAACATAGGTGACAACATCTGGAAGCTTCCTGGGGGCAGGGACTCTGTACCTCCTACACATGTACATAATGCCTTGCACATAGTAGATATTCCAGGAAAAAGAAGGGCCAAGAGAGAGGAAGGATGAACAGGAAAGAACCTAGCTAGAAACTACAACCCCAGCCATCCAAAGCAACAACATATTCTAAATTCTGACCAAAAGGAGGCTGCTGCTGGAGGAGGGTGAGAATAACTAGGAGGAAAGAGATAGATAGGTACTCTTAAAAAAAAAAAAATTTCTTGCAAATATAAGTCACTGCCCACTCCCTCCTACCTCAGCCCTCAGTTCAGAGCCTCAGCTGCACTCGAGAACCACAGTGGGCCTCTGTGATACTAGCAGGCCCTACTCCAACCACTCCACTGCTCAGAGCTCAGACATCTTGCCTCTCTGCCTCGCTCTCTCCGAGGTGAACATCTGGGATGACCAGCAGGCAGATCAGCTAGGACTGCTTTACACCAGGGTGACAAGCAGGGCTGAAGGCTAGAGAATAGCCAGGGAGCTGCTGGAAGGCATGGGGCAGTGGAGGGAGCTAGCTGCTCCCGAAAGGAAATGGTAACATTAGCCTGGATTTGTCCACAGTGATTCCAACCTGAGGGCCATGCAGCTTGACTGCTTCACACAGATGGAATGGGAAATGGGCTATGGAGGAATCCTGAGTATTATGCCTGGCTGGCGATCAGAACAGGGAAGGATGAACAAGTTTTTCAGGGATGGAGGGAAGAGTGGCTCACGCCTGTAATCCCAATGCTTTGGGAAGCCAACGCGGGCAGATCACGAGGTCAGGAGTTCGAGACGAGCCTGGCCAACATGGTGAAAGCCCGTCTGTACTAAAAATACAAAAAATTTAGCTGGGCACGGTGGCTGGTGCCTGTAACCCCAGCTACTCAGGAGGCTGAGGCAGGAGAATTGCTTGAATCCAGAAGGTGGAGGTTGCAGTGAGCTGAGACCGTGCTACTGTACTCCAGCCTGGGCAACAGAGTGAGACTCTGTCTCAAAAACAAACAAACAAAAATAGGGCCAAGAGGTCATAGAGCCCATTCCTCTGCCTCCAGAGAGGTTCTTGGCAAATGCACTCCTATGATTGAGCGGGCTTCCTGTCTGAAGGCCCTTCAGAAGCACCCATGAAGCCTGAATGCCTCCTTTTTTCAGTATGTAATTGTTTCCAGAGTTCACCAAGTTCTTTCTTATACCTAACCTAAACTTCTTACTTACATGAAGCAAGCTGCCTTGCTTCTTGCTCTGTTTTGGGGGATGGCAAACCCTCTAAAACCTTGTCAGTAGGTCAAGAGTTCTGATCAGTTGGGTATGAAGCACCCATGAACCATGGGGCTTATGTCCAATAGATTTGATGGTGCAAACTAACTTTGGATATAAGCCCATTTATTTTGCACTTGACCAAGTAAGTCTCAGAAAGAATGACAGGATGTCTGGGTCAGCTCACTGCACTGGTGATACTTCTCCCATATCTTCCTGGCACACCCCTGGTCCCTCTCCCACTTTCCCAGGAACCAAGACTTCTGCTGACAGGGAAGGCTGAGATGGAAATACCCTCCTCCCAACAGAAAAGGATACATTCCTCTTGAGTCTAAGAGCTTTTAGTCCCTTCTAGGTTCTCATATGACCTGGAACATCATCCTTCTTTAAGGCAGAGATGACCTGAAATATCACTGTTGTGTAGGGCTGAAGTCCCTGTCCCAGCTGCTCTCTGGGCCACTGGGCCAGGTTGGCCAATCCACCACTGAGGAGGAAGGCAACTAACATCTGCTGGGCACCTGCCAGGCACCAGGCTTTGTGCATGTTATCACATTTAATCTTCACAACTCTTCAACAGGGTAACTATGAGCCCCGTTTCACAGATGAAGAAGTCAAGGCCCAGAGAGATGTGATGAGAAGAAACAGAGACTTGGAAAATAGCCGGGTGGCTGATATGGGGTGTGGGGCAGTGAAGAGAGCTGTTTGTTCCCATTAACAGGACCTGATAACATTAGCCACCATTTGTCCACATTTCAGCCAACCCCAGGCTCAGGCAGCTGAATGTACACAATACTGGTTACAGAGAAATACAAAGGATCATGCTTGGTCAGACCAATCAGGGCCAGGGTGTTTCTGCAGGGTCTGGAGGGACAGATGGGTTTTTCAATGTGGAATAGTTCATGTCAGGAGACACTCAATTCTGACTGGAGCTATTTCCCTCTGACCAAAGTTTTATGGGAGTTTCCCATCTTCCCCAATAGCAGAGAATTGAAGCAGGTTTAAGATTGCAGTGAGAGGGTGAGATGGGAGGATTGCTTGAACCGAGGTTGAGGCTACAGCGAGCTGTGATTGCACCGTTACAATATAGCCTGGGTAGCAGACTCATCTCATTTTTTAAAAGTAAAAATTAAAAGATTGCAATGAGTGGTGGTTTAGGTTGGATGTAAAGGAAAACTCAGTGGGTTGCGAGTGAGCCTTTCTGAGGGGCTACACAGGGAACCGCAGTGGCTCTGACCTGGGGAGTCCTGTCCAAACCCATTCGTTTCTCCTTTCACTGGAGAACATGACCAGCCATGTAAGGAAGCTCAGGCTCACCCTACATAGTCAGGGTCAGAATGGGTTTCTC